TTATGTTTCCTGTTTTATTTTGAAGGGGTCCTCTTTTCAATATTTTTAGTTTTAATCTCCCCTTGTGACGTTGTTACGTTCATGTGTGTCAGCTGTTTCCCCATGTGTTCCCACTTCCCTCATTAGCCTTTTTAGTTTTTGTTCACCGAGTTTAGGTTTTTGTTTACTTTGTTTGTACCGTTTTTGCTAGCCTTAATAAACGGCTTGTTTTTTGTTAATCCACGTCACGTTTGTTTTTGGTCTGCGTTTGAGTCCTCTTTTGCAAACGCATACAGTCTGCCTCAGCCAGACTGTGACAAGTATTTATGATTATGATTAGCATTAACGATCCTGGATCCGTGCCTTTATGACGTTTACTCCAAACTTTGATTCGACCTGCCGAATGTCACAGCAGAAATCGAGATTCATCAGACCGAGGAACTTCTTCCAGTCTCATGTCGTTGAGTTGTAGTGAGCCCATGTGAGTCAGTGTGGTTTTCTGCTGCTTCGAGGTTAGATGTGTTTATTCAGAGATGAGTTACTGTTCCTATCAGCTCAAAGCAGCTCGGCCATTCTTCTCTGGCATCAAGCATTTTCTCTCAGAGAGCTGCTGCTCACTGAACGTTTTCTCTTTTTGGGTCCATTCTCTGTGAACCATGGGAATGTTTGTGTGGGAAAATCTCACCATCAACCGTGCTGCACTCAAAGTCACCTACATCACCTTTCTTCCTCATTATGAGGCTCTGTTTTCACTTTTCTTGAATATTCTGAGCTGCTACCGTTTGGTTCTCACTGAACCAAACAGCAGGAAATGTGTCAAAGTGGGCTGTGTGGCAGGCAGCAATCGGACCTGAAGCACTCGAGGGATAACACAAAAGAGTGGGCTAGTATGTACGCACGCAGGCGGACAAACACAGTTCAAACTAATCACAGACTAATGAGGCACACAAAGCAAAACTGAACATAATGGACATGGAGTGAAAGACTATCAAAATAAAACAGGAAATGACTACCTCTAACATACGACATATGAACCTGACACAAAGACAGAGGTTGGAGGGACAGAATGGGAACACAAAAGATGATGACGAACCTATCATCAGCTAAAAAACATCAGAGAGCCAAAGAGACAGAAAACAGGATCGTCACAACTTTTTATTGATAATTTTCAGAATTAGATCATATTAGTGGGCTGTTTTTCACTTTGGGGATGAGGCTGATTTAAAGCACATCCAGGATAAGTGTGGTAGTTGTCACCTGTTCACTGATCATCTATGACCGTGCATGCTTTGCAGCTCATATCAGTGTGGGAGTCTAAGTCGTCACAGGAAACAGCTGGTGATCTGTCAGTGTTCCTGACACGGATTACAGTATTTGGCGATTCTTTGAATAACAAAGTGAAATTGTTGCGTAAACGAATAAATGAGTCAGTGTTGCTGTGCTGAACAGTGAAGACGCAGTGACCAACAAGTGCTGTCGTAATACACTCACATGCATGCGGGCTTTTATGCATGCGCACAATACATTCAACTCACACTCACAAGAAAAGAGAAGGATGTGGAAAAAGAAAGCATTGTTCTCAAAACACGGCCTCCTGCTTCTCTTTAGTTTTTCCTTTTCTCCCGGTCAGTGATTGGGAGACAGTGCCCGTTATCTCCTTCTGTTCTCTTCCTCATACTGATAATAAGTAACTGTTCAATGTCAACAAGAGCTCCTCAGACAGCCACTCAGTGAGCAAGAGCAAGTGCACATGAGGCAAGGGAGAAAAGGCCAACTCTACAACAGCATAGCGGAGACAAAGATAATCTTAATATAAACAGTCTGTTGTGTAAAAAGATAAGAAAATCCTCTCTGTATTTGTGGTGTCCACTGGCAGCCAGCAGAGGGCAGTGTGGAGATGTGCAACGTTCGATCATTTCAGAGGATATATAATATATATATTTAATAAAGGGATGTGTAAGATATGTCACAGATGTTCATTTGTCCTGTTCGAGTTGATGTTGTGGGTTTTCACTGAAGTACATTTACTCTTATAACATTTGACAGTTACATGTACTGATGTCCACTGAAAGAGCCTGCACATCAGGGGTGTAATTTCCAGGGGGGTTAGGGGGG